AGATCTATATTTTTAGATAAATTATGGTACGTAAACAATGTTGACATAATTCTAACTACTAATTAAGAATAAAATATTCCGATTTTAAAAATAAAACTATTTCTCAAACCGAGCGAGCTTAATGAAGGTAATAAAAATAAAGTTTAATCTGGAAGACCTAGTATTAGCTGGCTTGACAGAATGCTTTATGTTGTCTGGTCTATTATTTTGTAAAGAAAAACAACAGTCTTCAACTTGAAGCGCTGAATGCACCCACCGTCTTAATCAAAATTTGAACAAACCAAACAAATACTGTAGAAAATCAGGCGCAAGATATTTATATCCTCCTTAGAAGAGGTCGAAACTTCGGAGCAGGGCCGACCTAGATTCATCGAACTTAAACAACTTTTTCGACGCTTGCAAAGAAGAACATCGTAACTCGAAAATTGCTCTTTTACAGAAAACGCGTTCAAAGGTTTTAAGAATTTTTATTAATTACAAGGCGGTTTTTAAAAATCAAAATTTAAAATTTACCCGGTATTTAAAATTGTTATTTAATTATATTTTGGTAGCATTTTAATAGTTACAAAATATTCGAGACTTTTAAAAATATAATTTGAAAAAGATACGATGTAATTCTTTGCTATATCTGAAGTATTTAATATTTTATCTAAATATACTATGTAAATATACTAGCGGAAATGTATTAGTAATAACATCGTATCTTAATAGATACAGTGCCTACTGGGTCAGAGCAATCTCTACCCAGAACCCAACTTTTATAATAAATTATAAAATATGTCACTGTAACCACTGAACACACTGAAGGATAACTCACCTTGGCGGGAAGAGTCCGCGCATCTCAGTTGGCGCACATCAAATCGCCATTGTTTAGGGTTCCGCTACGATGATGGCAAGATTTATTATCACTCAGCGTTGCCAATTTGAGAAGTTGTGTATCTAGTATAATCTGTTGTAATACGATTTTTTTTTTCCAGTTCCAGTTGTGTTATATTTTTTTTGTGGTTTGTGCCTAGTGTAATTGTTTTTTAAACTACTAAAAATGGACAGGCTTAGTTTAAATAGTGATAGAAGTTCGTGTGCAGCTAAGTTTCCCTATACCCATTTAATTAATTTATATGGTAGATTACGAATCTATTATGCATTAAAATATGCAAACCGAAATTTTAAAATGTACCTAAGTTCACGTAAGAAAAAAGCAAAATTGATTATTTGGAGACATCAATAGAAAACGTATTATTAAATATATTTTCTTTAATATGAATTGTTTACTTTAACCCTCATTTTGCTCCAATGTTTTATGATTAAGAAGATGAACACACCAAAGCATCAACTAATACAACGCTTATTTTTTAAAACAGGAAATAATTCCGACTCAGATGTGACCAAGACGTAAAATATTTATTATTTTGTAACCTCCATCCGTATATATCTATTGTGTTCTACACATGACTTTCCGGTAAAGTTATCAAATATATTGAGTACGGCCCATCTAATCAATTAATTAAAAGTGAAAATTTTCTATACATATTTTATTCGAAACATTTTTTTCATATCTTTATTGCCAACAAAAATATTGAGAAAATTATAACTTTGTACTCTTCCTCGTATTTTTGAATTTCATTTTAAAGATATCATGCATATAACAAAAATTATAGAGAAATATATCACAAACAACTTTAATTCGATGATTTTCTCCAAATAACAGAAATATAACTCAAAGTAAAAAAAATCGAGCCTCTATAAAGTACCCCCATACTTTAACTGTGCCCAAAATCGAATTAACTCTTTGCTACGTGAATTAAAATTTATATTGAAAATGTGGCATATTTCTCTTTATCCAAAACATTACCGCGAAAATTGTCAAAACGGATTCGGAGGATTCCAAAATGTAATGATCAGACGAATGATTCCTCTACTTTCATTACTGATAAATGGAAAGTAAAAAATTAAAATTATTTTTGGTAAATTTAAAGAAAATCAGTATATCCGTTTTCTCAGTCATTTACAAAAAACAATTTCGAACTCGGGAACCTATAGAGTAAAAATCAATCAAAATATCGAAGCTCAATTTAATATATTTCTTCCCTAATAAAACCAAACCGACTCTGACCAGTCCGTTTGTGCTAAGCCGATTATCGAAAGGAACCCAATTTGATGGGCGAAGGTCACCGAAATTTGCCACAGCGTTCTTATGTAATTTTTCGAGAGTTACACTTCAGTGTATTCAGTGCTGTAACCTCAGTTTGGATATATTTGGAAGATATCTGTCACATTGACATCTTTTAACCACTGTCCAGTTACAGTCCTAGAGCAAACGTGCAGATTTGCGACTTATTTTCTTATAGCTGAATTTATTATTAAATTTTACTATGATACGTGTCCAAAATATTCACGAAAGCGCGACATTCACAGTGGAACGCTTAAGTGGCTATAGGCATTACAAGTGGTAGGTGCCTCTCAAAAACTTGACTTATGCTCATTCGACGATAAGTGCTCACCTACAAGAAATATTAAACCCTCCACCAATTTCGCTGGACCATTTTTTCTCTCCATCGTTTTAAAGTGACTTATTTTCTCATAACTGATTTTTGGTTTATTTTCAAGTTTTTGTTGTTTTTTACAAACCTCCACGTCCTCATCGTCGAATGAGTATAACGAAAATGTTAAGAAAATAAGTCAAGTTTTTGAGAGGCACGTACCACTTGTAATGCCTATAGCTACCTAAGCGCTCCAGTCTGAACATCGCGCTTTCGTGAATTCGTTGGACACGTATCATAGCACAATAAAATAATAAATTCAGCCATAAAAAATAAGTCACAAACCTTTACGTTGGCTCTAGGACTATTTACTGGTTCCTATTCACGAGCACGCAGAATGTCCAAATGGAGTGACTGCATTCCAAAATCCTTCTGTGAATGTTGAAAACTGAATGTATAGGCGTGGTGTGGTAGTTTTGCTGGATATCCAGACGTCCAAAACATCCAACGAACTTTGGTAGCAGTCTGCGGAGTGGATGCTGTATGAATGGGAAACCCTAAGTTGGTTGTGCACTACCCAACACAAAAACCTACATTATTCACGCATCCATTTGGAATGACCGTGAATGAACAATTTCTAAACGTAAAATCCATTTAGATGCCGTCCAAACGGACCCATTCCATTTGGAGTGATGTGAAGGGGGCCTTAAGATATATCGCAATAGACCACCGTTTATAGGAATATGTATATTTAATATTTAAGGAGTATGAACTTAACTGGACGCGGTTTGTTATTAGAAACTCTTGCGTCCAGTAAACTGGACGTGGTCACTGAACTTGTTAAGTGCTGCTGAAACATAAAGGTGCGTATAATTATATCGCGCCAGGCGGTCTTTGTAAATCCGACGTAATTTTTTTCTAGTAGAAAACTGTGTAAAATTGCGTGAAAGTAAAGTTAAAGTAAAGAATGTTTCTAGAAATTTTATATTGGACAATATTCTCAAATACTAATCTTTGCTAGTCTTAAATAAAAGTAATCGAACTTATTGTGTAACAATCCAACGCATTTACACACATTTTGAGAAATCTCACGTGAGATTAGGGGAGGGGGAGGGAGTTGAGAAAAATCTAACAAAATCTCACTAGGGGGCAGAGGGAGTCAAAAAATTCTCAAAAATACCTCACGTAATTAATGGACGCCCCCTAATTGGTTATGGCCACCTACTGGGGGTTTAGTGGAGTGTTAATATTATAGGAATATAGGAAATATTGTTTTATACCTAACAACTTACTTATTTTTAATTTATTGATAGTTATAGATAATATGTATTCGAAATTCGAAGTAAAGATTATGACGTAGTGGTGTTCTTCTAATTGTTGTAATCGGACCCTATCACCTCTGTTATTTTTGTATGTGTATATATATATAATGATGTCATTATAAAACGGCAGTTCATTATTAAGTGCGATAGTAATTATAGTTACGATGATCTTTAAGTCACTTTTTTACCCCGATGAGATACGATAAAATCATTATAAAAAATCAAAATTGTGTATTTTAATTGAAAGACCAGTTATTTGTAAACCGAAATATGGTCTTAATTCAATTTGATAAAAATCGAGATACGATATGTTCTTATTTGCAAGTGTCTGTCGGTATTCGACGCTACACATTTTTCAAAATGTGTTTTCATCATTTTTTTAATAATATACTACTTAGAAATATAAATTTTTATAAAACAACAAATGCTATTTTAAGAAGACGGTTTTTTTCGTGTAAGAAATCGCAATAAAGTTTTCAATCTTGCATTCTTTATTGAAATTTAGGTCAACAACTGTGATACTAGGAAGGTTTTTTAAATGTCAACAAAATGCACATATTTAAGTTAGGGATGGGCAAATGCAAATTTCCCTCTTGCCTAACTTATGAACGCCTTTAATTACTTTTAATTGTTTCTTCTACTGAATACGGGGGTAAGAAGAAAGCGTTTTCATGAATAGTAATTGTAATAATGAAATATTTCATACTTTCAAACTTAGCGATTCATATTTTTTTATGTTCCTTTTTTACCTTAGTTTTTCGTTCTGTACACTCTTTCATTATGGATCTTCTTAGGTCTCTTTGTTCGTACTTTATCAAGTTATTTGTGTTTCCGAGAGCTTCCTGATATCTAATTAAATTAAAATTATTAACAACATTAGCTGGATCTTATGTTTCGCATGTCCGGCTCAAATCATAGAATCTGAGAGGCTATATGATTTTACGAGCTGTACCTCTATATCCTATGAGCAATTTGCAATTTTTGTTCAATGAAAAGCAGACCTATTGCCGAAAGACCCTGTATAAAAGAAAATAATTGTTGGGTTACACCCCTTGTAGCACCGCAGATCGTGCCGGTCCTGCTTAGAAGCATCTAATTCGCTAAATATAAATCGTGGAGAATGAGAAACTTTTAACTCCTTGTTCTACAAACTACAACTTATACGAGTTTTCCGATGTCAGTATTTTTAGTGAAATCCTAGGAAGTGAATCAATTATTTCAGTAGGTTAAGTTAATTTTGTGGTGTGTTTACTTTAATGCTCGACAATTAGAGATCGATTGGAAATGGACGTGTACATATTTTTAGTGAATTAGAATTATTTTGTTTATTTATACAGATAGGTATATTGGTGATTGAGTTTGTGATTTTACGCCGGTGTCAGATTAACATTTACAAGGTGCTAGTGGGTGCTCAATTCGTTGATTTAACCTAGATCTAAAATGTCATTTATACTTTGGTAAGTAGATACCTACTATTCGTTTTTTGTTATTTATCTGAAAGGTATCTGTAAATGACAGTAATATTACAAATAGTAATAATAATTGAACTTTCTAGCTAAATTATGCTAATCTCTTTTTGATTTTTAAAAATAAGAAATGTAGGACTTAAAATAAGTTATTTGAATAAATATCATCGGGTTGGCAACATTGATGCAATACTGACCCGGAGAAAAATCATTTGGTGAGGATTACACAAAAGACCTATTTTTTGTTGGTTTTTTGTTATTCATATTCTTTAATTCCACCTGTGGTTATTTTAGATTCGCGGCAGCCCTCGGTGAATTTTAATGTAAACCCGGAGCCCGGAGAATTAACGCCAAACTCGAAATATCCGGGTCAAAAATTTAAATTGTCTAAATTAAAATTTTCCCAAAAGAAAAAAATAACGATAAATCTATAACAAACACAAAAAAACTAATGTCAAGTGATTTCATTGAGGGTTTTATAACTTGTATAAGTTAGACAATATGAACCGTCTATTTGAAGTTTTGGGTCAGGTTAATTTCACATCAAGTTCACGGAGTGTCTTCTGCCAAAAACTATTTCCGTGTAATATTTCACTTTTACTATTACTACACGCAGGAAAACGAAAATAGGAAATTATTTTTGACATTCTTTTCATGTGACTAACGAAATTAATATGAAAAGTGTGATAACTTAAAATAAACTTATAAACATATTTTAAATGCTGAGAAATTTAACGAGACCGTGTGAAAAAGTATCTTTAGATCCACCCCCGTATGTTAGGTTGAGCAAGAGTGGGACAATAACATCTTCCTGTGCGACCCCACATGATCGACATATCGTGGCACATTTTTAAATTATGTAGTTCACCGGACAATCCACACCTAATGAAGGTCAGGGTTGAGTTAGACGACACTTGTTTTAATTTTAAAGTCGATATACCTAAGCTCCAGATAAATAAAACCGAATTTCTGGAGCCTAATTCTTTCCAGAGAGGAGCAGGTATATAATTATTGTGCTCTGTTGATCTGACTTCCACACTGACTGATCAACCTTTGTTGCAAACCAATATTTCTCTGGCGGTTTCCTAAATCACAGTGTTCCGTTATCAATCTCGAATTAAATTAATATCACAAAAATAGTCAAGTTTGAACTATAGATTCGTTAATTAAAATGATTTTTTTATAGAAGCTATCTATTATATGCATTTCAAAATATTTTACTTGCTTTGATTCAATTGCCTACATGATTTTAAACTGTATTAGTTTTTTAAAAGAAATGTTTTTGAAATAAATTTTAAAAAATATGTTCAAAATTATGTGTTTAAAATATTATTTACCTTGTAATTACATATAGCTGAGTTACCTACCAAATTCTTTCTTCATAGTATTATCGGAAAATCATATGATACAAATACCGTACATGCTAGCAAAATTTACTTCTGTATTAGAAATTGGTGGAAGGATGTAGGTACCTCTTATACAAATAAAAAGTACCTACATATTTCCGAGAACATTTTCTTTCGTCGAAATCCATTCGAAAGACGAAAACAACTTTTTAAAATAATAACTCTATTTATCAACCTTATATTTATAAATTTCTCTTGCCTTTTCTCCCACACTTTTGACTGCCATGTCGAGCTATGCCACACTATGCCGATGTCGTAGAATTTCGTAACTCTTCCTTCCATCTGTTCGCGGATTCGGAATTCTGTGTAGTTGCATTCTGTATTCGGTATTATCGATGTTTTGTTGAGATGATGTCCCACTAACACCCTAAAATGTTCGTAACTGTTAATAGAAAGCTGAGAATACAGGTTGTTGCGTTCAGAAGGTGCCACTTAGTCGACATTTTTATAACCTTGCGCCTTTCTTGTTCATTCCATTTATTCGGCATTAGGTATTACAAAATTGTTCTCTCGTTTGACAAAATGTCATATTGCTAAATTACATTGTTTTCCCAACTTTAATAGGTACATAAATATGTTACACTGCACATTTTTTCTGAGCCAAAAATTATAGTTACCTTCTCCAGTTCCCGATAGCTCAGTGCGTCTGAATGAGTCACGATATTTAGTTACCTGGCGTTGAGTGGTCAATGACATTCCATCTACAAAAAAACGAAAAAAAATTTGATACAGTTTTTAAATAGGTATTCAATACTTTTTAAAAATGTTTTTTTTAGATAATTTATAAATTTTATGAAATTTTTCCTTACCTATCTTCAGAAGGTAAATAAACCATTTCTTTTGCTTTGATTTAAAGTATTTATTAATGAAAAACTGATAATTTTTCGATTTTAATTTGGATATTATTTTTTTGTTCTGTTTATTCTATGAAATAAAAGGCAACTAATAATTACAATAAAACAGAAGGAAATTGTACAATTTCTATAAGAAAAAAGCAACAAAAATGACAAAAGAAAAGATGATGATAATGACATTTGTAAGTTTTGTATTTGAATTTAAATGATTATTCACTAAAACTAGAAAAATATTCAATTCAAGAAAAGTGAGGAAATACATCTCTGTCTGTATCTGTAACGTGTGGGGGGGTGGGTTGCCCCCCACGACACTTAGACCTTAGTAGGTCCGTTGTGTATCCTCCTGAGATGATAGGCACCTCCTAGCTCGTGAGCCAGCCTACAGATTTAATGTAGTTGACAACGTCGCCAAGAGGTGCTTCTCTTATATCGGCCGGTGTTAGCCGATACTCGCCGAAAACAAATCTTCTAATAAATGCGAGCATTGAGCAATAGTAAAGGATATGCTCGATGGTCTCATCTTCTTGTTCGCACCCTCTGCAGAGTGCGAATTCTGACAGCCTCATGATATGGAGATGCTTTCGTACTTGGCAATAACCAGTTAGAATGCCTGTGACTAGGCGCAGATTCTGTCTAGTCATAGTCAAGTATTTGTTAGCTGCAGTGTTGTCAGGATAACTTAAGAACTCCCTGGCAACTCTGCAGTTTCTTGTTTCATCCCATCTTTTCTTGAATTTCACAAGGGAATGTTCTTTGATTAGGTCTGTCACTACCGATTTTATCCAGGGCCAGGTCCAGGTCCAAAAAGTATTTGGTTGGCTGCTTTCTTGGCTAGTGAATCAGCAATACGATTACTTGTCGATGTGGCGTGACCTTTGATCCATCTTAAGGTGACCACATTGTTGATGGATACTTCGGCCAAAGCCTCGTGATATTCTAGTACTAACCCTTAGTAAATTCGTGGTCTGTTTAGGGTGAGTAGTACTTGTCTGCTATCTGTATAGATGAACATGTTCCTTCCAGTGACATTCTTTCTGGTTATTTCTTTTGCTGCTATGAGAATCCCCGTTAGCTATGTTTGCACCACACTGGCACTATTGCTCACAGCCAATTTTATGTTTAGGTTTAAGAATCTGGAGTATATTCCACATCCTGAGCCTTGTTTTGTTTTAGAACCGTCGGTGTAGATATGAATCGTACATGCCACTTCCGGCTCTTCTATTTGCTCTATTATAACTTTATATGGCTTATAGAAGATATATCTCGGTGAGATGGAGTCCATGTTCGCTTGAAGCAGTGGGAGCGTATCGAGCGCCTCCTGCCAAAAGCGACATCTCGCCTCACCAGATCCTACATCAGGTTCTATTCCAACCGTGCGGAGGCGTGTCATTGTCGCCAGAGCAACCTCCTTGATATAAATATCAAGGGGAGGAAATACATCAAAAATGTTTCTAATTTATTATTACGATTATAACACAATAATTTGGTCCTTTTTTGTAGGTGGGTGGATGTGATCTACTTCGAATTTCAATGTAAATTTTTCGTGTTCGTTAGCATAAAATGTTTGTAGGCATATAAAGAAAATTTAAGAGCCTGTATATTTATTAAAATAAAAATTTAGCATTTGATCTTGTACAGCAAAACCCCGTATTTGTCCAGCGAAACGCTGTATTTGATCATTAATGTCAAGGAACAAAAAAAAAAGTTGTCACATGCGCGTTCAGATAAAGTCACCCTAATATATGTATTTCAAGGCTTACGACCTTTTGTATATGCCGCTGAATGAGTGTCAAAACATAGCAATGCTTCTTACAAAGGCTAGCACCGATTACTAAGAGGTATCTTTAATATCCTGGAGTCCAAGACCCGTTAGAAGTTCTGAGAAATTTGGAATTATGGACTTCAATCTTATTATTTACTCATAGTGATATTTCTGAGAATGTATGGCGTATTTTTGTGGATCTGTATCTGTAACGTGTGGAAGGTGGGTTACCCCACGGCACTTAGGCTGCACGAAGCCCATTGTGCATACTAAACTGATAAGCCCCTCTTAGCTTTGTGGTTTTGTGGAATTCCAGTTAGTAGTTCAGACTATGTTTGAGCTGTTCCTGAAATATGCTAGCCGTGTAAAGTTGCGCGATTCTCAGAGCAAATCACGATGATCTACCTTCTCAAAAGATTTTCCTTAAAATGACAGTCAGAAAGGAGTTTATGTAGACAGGAGTTTATGTATTAGTTCAGTACAATACTTTTAAAGAATTATGCAAATAAAAGAAGTACCATATTTAAATACCTTTATACATAATTTTTTGGTGCTTTCCTGATATAGACAGTCAACAATAATTATATTAAACGAAAATAATTTTTTATGTCACCGATCTTCTGAGAATTTTTCAAAGCCCCTCTTTGTATATCACGAAGAAATCCTTTGATAAATGGGGGAAATAAGGTGAGGATTTAAGTAATTCAATACACCCTTCGATTTGAATAAGGGGTTGTTAAACGTACCATTGTGTAAGAAGACTTTCCTTTATTAGTTAAATGTCACGTATATTGGTTAAAGCAGATAACCCGTTTTTTGTTATCTACAACCCTTAGAATTTAAGGATGTAATAAGCAGATGGCCAATTAAAAAATTATTAAACGGTTAATCACTTTTTGTGAAATTCTTTGGGGCGGCTTTCTTGAGATTATTATTTTTTAGTTTTTACCGTTTGTCACCAGATCACTT